AAGCAAAATGGTAATCAATGTAGCTCGCAGAGCAGAGGTATAAATGCATGTTATAGGAGCATCCATAACTGCCCACATTGCTACATTCTGTAGCAGCTGAAGCTCCTGTATACTCTTCAAAGGCAGCCCCATGTAGAGCACATTGCAATAGTCCATTGGGCATGTGACTATGAGCAAGGCCTGCCAATCCAGGAATGGATCCAACTGGCACACAGACAAAGCTGTGCAATAGTCCTCCTAGCCATGTCTATCACCTGCTCATCTAGCTAGAGTTGTGTATCTAGGAGGAGTCCCAGGTTGTACACAAGGTGTCATCCCTCCTAGTAAACTAGCCAGGAAACATTCCATTACAATGGGTCAGAATGGGGCAATGTAACCCCAACCAGCACCAAAGATGCATGATAAGGAAACATGTGGGTTTCCATCCCACCGTTGCCAGAAGTCACCCAAAAGTGTGCCATTTCCATCCCATCCCCAGGCCTGAACCCTGTCTGAAAGGGATCCAGATAATTCACTTCCACCAAGGTCCTCTGAAATTGCTGCACAATCCTCTTCTCTATATTTTATATTCTTACATATGGTGTTTGAAATATCCATAATAATAACAAAAACTCTCTGTATAAAAAGGCATTCTAAGAGACATAATCAAGAAATAAATATTTAATAATTCCTAGTTATTCTACTCACATATGCATGCAGACATAATAATTTAGGATTCTCTTTTCCGGAATCCTAAAGGCTCACTTTCTCTTTTAGTCATAAATTCAACTTATTAGCATTCTGGGAGTCATAAACCAAGGATGTGATCCCCACTTTCAAATAACCCACAGCATTTTACAAAGCAATGACATGCATTTTCAAAACAATGTTTCCATGCTCACCTTAGACTCTTTGTACTAACTAAAACATCAAGACAATTGGTGTTGTTGTTTTTCATGCAACACAGCAACCCTAAAAAGGAAAGTCATCTCTCTTTTTTTTTTCATGAATAAATGTCATGAAAGATGCATTGCTGAACAAGGGAAACATCAAGCAGATACACATTTTAACAGCTTAGTTGAAGTCTTGAAATGCTAGCTAGGCAAATGAAGACAAAATAAATTAATCCATAAAGACTTTCTATCAAATTAAAATGAGGACCGCATAACCACCAAATGGTAACAGTCTACTAATATGGCTACAATCTGGCTTGTTTCAGCCCAGGGCAGCAAAGTTGAAAATCAACAAGAAATATAAGTAAGGCAACAAAGGATTATTTCCATTTCAGAGGAACACCAGCTTCTTCTTTATTAGAAGATTTCCATTAACTTTAGGGAAATAACTCAACCAGAAAATATACAAACTTAGACTGTTTCCAAAAGTCTTAATTAAGTCCCTATCCAAGCAGGGGAAAATGTTGTCACTGAACTATGACTGAAAAGGGAAATCATTTTAATATCTTAGAAGTATTCTTGTCAGTTTACATTCAATTCAGTTTTAAGTCTACAAAACAATGTTTCTCAACCTTGGCTGCTTTAAGCTCTGTGGACTTAAACTTCCCAGAATTCACTAGCCAGCATGGCTGGCTGAGAAATTCTGGGAATGAAGTCCACATTATTAAGGTGGCCAAAGTTGAGAAACACTGGTCTACAGCACACCTCAATGACACCAAAACAATGATATCATCACACAAATACCACCTTCTACATCATTTCATTGCAAGGGCTGATTCAGGTGTGTCGGTCTCTTATCTACTGTTATAAATGGACATCATCACTCCAAGATGGTAGGCAGACCTGTCCCCCCAAAACATTGTACACAATGACCAAAAATCACCAGTGGGAAGGGCATATTTCAAATCCATTTCTCCAATGACTTCACTAAAATGCAATTGCTACTTCTCATAACATTCAGAAACAACTTAAAGTTGTTGTTTCTTCCTTTTCTGTATTATTTCTTCCCAAGAGGAAGATGCACTCAAATGTATCACACATTAAATGGTTTTGTTAGAGATCTGGACATACAAGCTTAAAGCCAGAGGAACCACCCCTCAGATTCCTTCTAAAGATTAATGAGTGGTTGCAAGCACTGATTGTCATTAAATTGTCATAATGTGCTTTGAAATTCAGTCACTTCTCCTATTCGAGAAGTTGAAACAGCACTACTGTTACTGGTATTTTTAGGCAAATTAGAATCTGGGAAAGCAGCCAAACCTTTAGTTTTCCTTAAATTTCTTTAAGGGATCTGTTAGAGCATAAAAATAAAATAAAAGTTTAGATTTTATGAAAGAGCAAGCCCTTCTAGGTTTTATTCCCAATATCCTGATAGTTTATGTGGCGATCTTATTTACCACAGCTACAGTGATGCTACATCAACCTTTCCCTTCAGCAAACATGCAGATCTACAGTACCTTCCAGCATCTGGTGCCCTCTACATGGAATAGAACTATAATCCCAAAAATTCTAGCCAGTCTGCACACTGATCCCTCTGGCTGTGGATGTTGAGTTACTAAGTTAATTGAAAATTAAAATTTCAGGGCTGATGCACATTCCAAACATGGGAATGTGTCCTACTACCCATTCACTGCTTACTGCTAGTATAAGAAGGTCTGCCAGTCGATCTGCTCTTCATACTTTTCATGTTAGTTGCAGGGAAAATAGTTAAACATCATAAATCAAAGCACATTGTGACACTGTGTGTCAAACAATATATAAACATTTTGTCACAAGAAGAGAATCCACATTAGACTGAGGGCAGCTAGCTGCCTGAATCGAAAATGATTTTATTTTTCCTGAGCACAACTTTAACAAAGTTCTCTTTAGCAAGATTTATTAATGTGAAAGGAATAACAATGGAAGAATTCCAGCAAGTGAACTATCTTCATGTAAATTTGACTTTCTGAATCTTTTTCTCATAACCTATGTGCAATGAAGAGGAAGAGCTTCTTCTAAATGAAATTGAGGAAAACTGCAGCTGGTTGCTTACCCAGTAGTCATTTGATTCTTTATCAGTGTGTGAACCAATCTTACAAGTCAGTCTAAAATTGAAATTAAAGCACAAACCCAATTGTGCTTTTAAAATAGAAGCAAACATTCAGTAGCCCCATACAAAAACCACTTTTCTTAACACAACCTGAGACAATAAAAGGAGATTTTTCAAACAGAAAAATCATGCTGGAAAAGGAAGAAGGAGCAATATCCTGCGATCACTTCTAATCAGTATGAATCATGGTAAGAATGATTTTTCATTAATAGTTGCCAGGAAGTCTCCCACTACTTTGGCGGAGAGAAGAACTGTGGAAGTACCTTCAACAAGTCTCCCAATGTTCATTGTCTTTTAGATACCCACTTCATCCATCAGCTTCACCTTCTCCATTGCTGCCAACAGGGCAGTTAGCATTTCCTGGAGACTCCAATTATGGCACATATTTCTAGTAAATGCCCCAGGACTGTGAACTCCAATATGAAAGGTGAGAAACCAGCACTGTATCTAATGGCTTTGTCCTTGCTCTTCACTTGAACAATCTTTTCTGTTTGAAACCTAGGCCATTTAAACATAGCACTTTGGAGCATGGGAATAAATGGTTCTGTTTCTGTCCTTTCACATGACTTCTCTCTTAAACAGTTCATTAGATTGGTTTGTTAGACACAGATGAAACCCTAATTGTCAAAGCTATTTTCACATGAATGTAGTTGTGAAACTTACATTGCTTGATGTGGCCTTTATTTCAGGGTTGGCATGCTCCCTTCCTACCTGCATTACTAATAATAATCACATAACTCAAATGCCGAGGTCGCTGATTCTAAAATGCAACCCTAACTACTCTTACAAGAGTTACAAGAGGGTAAGGATTATTGATTCAATGGGATTAACTCTGAGTAAGCATGCTTAATATTTCATTGACAGAATCATTGACAGAATCACCCTGAAATACCTGGTAATATGAATTTGAAAAGCAGTTCTTCTGTAACAAATCTAATTGCAGTTCTGGAATACCAACATACAAATCTGCACTGAAGTAAAAAATTATGACCATGATCAAGCATGGTAATTACAGAGTCTGTTAAGTTAATTTAACATAAAGAAGTGCCTGATTTTAAATCATAAGCTACATTTTAGAATCTGCAGTGATGCTGAATTAATTCAAACAACAAGTTTTCAGGGTCTCAAACTTAACATTTTTTTTTATTTCTCGGCTAATTCCCAAATCTCCAACACCAAGAAAATATGACTAGCTTGAATGAAAACAGAAACTGTTCGTCTTTTTTTATTTTATTCAATTCATGTTGAACATTTGGCTGTACGTCTAAACTATCATTTATTAATTTAGAAACCAATGATCACAATGGCAGCATGTTTGATAGAATATTAAAGCTGTTTTTGCATCTGTAAATCAAATTCCTTGTGATAAAGGCACATCTTTGGGGAAATTAATATCACTGCCCAAAAAATCGTAAAAGCTAAGTCTGATTTCATAAAAGGTCCCCTCCCCAGTGTTTTCATTGGAAACTCCATTCATTCATCATCTGTCCGTCTAATCCAGTGGTTTTCAACCTGTGGGTCGGGACCCCATTTGGGGTCGAACAACCATTTCACAGGGGTCACCAAAAATGCAGTCCGCCTTTTTTTCCCCCTTTTCCTTAGCTGTGCTACTCCCTTTTATTCTATTGGCTTTTGAAAGCCAATAGAATAGACTCTCTTGAATAGAGTCTAATTCTATAGGAATTGTCCAGACTGTCTCTGCCCTGCTGAGCTTGCCAAAAGTCCCATTCTGCAAACGGTGCTGCACCAGTTGAGTAGTCCTCGACTTACGACCGGTTGAGTAGTCCTCGACTTACGACCGGTTGGCGGTCGCGGCATTAAAAAGGTTGAGAACCACTGGTCTAATCTATCTATCTATCTATCTATCTATCTATCTATCTATCTATCTATCTATCTATCTATCTATCTATCTATCTCTATATCTCTCCACACAGTCACAGGATTTTCTCCTGGACAGGTTCAAAGACCAGAAGGAAATGTACAAGAAGAAAAATAAAGGGTTGGAGAGTTGATTATAGGCAGGAGAGAAATCCAGAGCACCATTCACACCCCTAAAATTTTCTCCAGTTTTCACCTATTCTGTGCAAGTTGCATACTAGCATACAGTTCGTTGTTATTCCACCTGGTTAGACTCTAAAGCCTTGTATGGCCGGACATCTAGGGCGTGAGAGCTGTATTTCTTTCAGATCAATGTCCAAAGACCAAGCAGATGCATAAGCATGCACGTGTCACAAATACATCCACCACAGAGGTACCTGAAGGGCGGGAAGCCTCATCTGTAATTCTGTTCCAGATCAGTGTTTTTCCATTAATAACTCAGGCTAGAGTAGAAAGCTGGGGGAGAAAAACCACTCCAGAAGAAGCCAGTGACAAAGCACTTTCACAATGCTGCCCCAAAAAACTGTATGGACAGAATTACCAAGTTGAGCTTAACTCAAAGCTTTATACTACCATGACAAAAAAAGTCAGGCTTCCACTTCTTTCCAGTGATTGTTGTGAGCAGAAAAAAGTAGAGATGTACGAAGTTCTGACAAGCTGAAATGCATTCACCCTATGATTCTCATCTGATACAACTATGTACACTTTATACCACATGTCGGGCATGAAACAAAATACCCATTAGAATCATGAGACAGCCTTTGACATATACTCCTTTACTGCAAAGGAAAAATCTGAGAGTGCTAATACAAAACAGAGCACGAGGCGCATTTATTGTAAATTCTAAAAGTTCACATTGCAAACTAGTATTCTGGGTGAATTTCACCAAATATTAACAAGAAGAAACTGTCTGAATACATGAAAAGTGTGGTACAAAATGGTACTGGTGCGACAGAGAACCTGAAGACAGATAGACAGACGTGTGTGAAGTGCTACAAAAATGTTCTATGTGGTGATTACTAATGAAAGCATCATTCAAAACAAACTATGAACAATTTGCTGGCTTTAGATAGACATGTTTCCATCTTAAGAAGATTGCCTTATTTGCAACAAACCTTTGTATCCAGAATGGAAATTACTAGGAAAGGCAGTTCAGCAACCTCTGTAAGATCACAGGTTTCTCAACCAAATTGGTCTGAATGATCTGATTGCCTTCAGACACTGTGGGTGCTCCATCACTGGAGGTTTTTAAGAAAAGATTGGACAGTTACTTGTCTGAGATGGCATAGGTTCTCCTGCTTGTGCAGGGGACTGGACTAGAAGACCTCCAAGGTCCTTTCCTATTCTATTCTATTCTATTCTATTCCCCAGTCAAATGTTATTGTTAATAGATGTGTTTCTATTAGCAGCTTTGACTACTGTATTAACTTAAGCAGAAGAGCCGGCATATATGGAAAATCATTGTTATTAACAGCTTTAACCATTTTAGTACCTGTCAAACAGAGGGATCAAACAGATAAGATACTGAGTCATAGTCTTATTTGATACAGGGTTTTTACTTGTATTTAAATTACAGTAACTATGTCTAAGACTACATGGAGTATCTGCAAAACAGCACATGCAAATTATATACAGGTGTACACCTTCTCCTTTGATTTATGATGGTGCATTTTATGGAAAGTGCAACTACTGTCCTGATTTCTGATTTCTGTTCCAGACTGGCATCAAGTATGTCCCATCTACTTCAACTTGCTACTGAAACAGGTAACAGTCACATTAGTTCCTGCCATGAAATTTCCACTGTTTAAGATCATTGTTGCTACTGGACAGTCCCTGGATTGGGAACAAGCAGCATTCAAATCTCTGCTGCCCACCTGCCCTACTCATGTGAGATATGCAAAAAGAAAGTCAGAGGCTGTGCAACAGTAGCTGCAGGATGAGTTCCCCTCCTGCCTGCATTGATGCAAGTGGCTTGCTTTCTTCAACAATCTGAAATGACAGAGTCATCCTTGAAGAAAATTCAGCTCCCAAACAGGCCCTGGGAGTCCTCCTCAAATGTGTTGGCTCAATATAAATTAGCAGAGGACAGATGATGGTGGTGATGACAATGATGATGACGATGATGAGCCTGACTCTTGACAATTCATTGGACCCGGTTTCTCCACACCTTCTGAACTTGCACCATTTCTTTGAATTTTTCTATGGTCTGGCTGGTGTCAGCTTTGATAGTGTACTGCCCTCATGTCCTCTGATGGCCTGGTTTCATTTTACTACCAACTCTTTCAAAAAACTGGTTGCTTTGTCTAGTGAATTCCCCTGCATGATATGGCCAAAATAAATTTAGATGAAGTTTTGTGATTTTGCCTTTTGTGACATGTCTGATATTATGTGCTCCAGTGCTTATTAGTCACCTTTGCTAATAAACAGCTCAAACAGTCGATTTTCTTCCTGTCTTGTTTTTTTAAGGTCCACGTTCCACAACCACAGGTAGCTATGGGGAACACAATAGACCAAACTAATCTACATTAAGCCCCTCTCCTGTGATAAGGGGGCATCCACATATAGAAGGACCTTAATGAGATCTATTAAATCCATCCTATAGTTTCCTCTTGTAAGCTTTTAATATAGCGGCTAATCTTACCTGTCATTAAGCTGTGGAAATCTGACCTTTCCATTGTATGGAGGTGCCAAAAATGTGTAAGTGGTAACCACAAAACTAATAGCTATGGAGACTGAAGGAATAAAAAAAGGCAAACATTTAAACTTTTCAATCCATACACGAATGGCCATTCATTCCTTTCTTTACTTCTTTATTTCCTGATCAACTTCTTCAGCCACAAAAGCTGGGCACTTTTCACTTCATTATAGGCACAAAGATCATTATTACTAGATTTAAAAAAAAGATCATGTGAAAAGTGAAGGGATTCGTTACCAGCTGTGGAATTTAAAGAAAGAGATGGAAAGTGTTAGTCCTTCAAGGAAGACCAGACTAGGATGTCAGAGTTATGAATGCTACTACTACTTTATTACGAGGTTGTGGTAACAGAATCTTGCAAGCCTGAGTGCGTTTCCCCCCTCCCTTTATCTTCATGAGAACTGAGGAGGGCCGTGTCAGAGACGCTTTCTCAAATTGCATTTCTTCTCCTGACCCAAATTTCTTTTATCTAACCATTTGCCTTGCTTATGGTCTCAGGACTATTCTTTCTGTCCATTACAGAAATAGAAAGACACTACTGGATTTGAGGGGACTCGGGCCAGAAAACATGGAAGGCCAGATATCTCTTTTGGGGCTATTATCACATTCAAATCACCCATCTGATTGCCCTGGAGCTTCACATCTTGCCCCTTTTCCTAATCACAGCCACCATTATTTCTCATTACTATCACTCCTCCATTTCTCTTCTCACCACAACCAACAGCCAAGAAAGAAAGTGTTGTGCTGGCCAATTGCTCTGGGTGAGCTGTTTTAATATATGCATGCTGTACAGCCATGTGGAGTTTTGGCAATGTTACAAAGTAGTTTGCCAAAACCTTCTTCTGGGATATTTTTCAACTTCCTAATCTAGCCAAGAATAAGCTATTTGTTTAAAATGTTTTTATTTTATGTTGCATTATGTTCTTTAAAAAGATCTGCTTCCATCCTGCCTAGTCCCCAAGATTAGCTATGGTCAGATAGATACTACAGCTTGAACAAGATGTCTGGCATATTACTTCTCATAAGCCCTAACCTGGGGGAGGGGGGAATTTAGAAAGCCTCTCAGGATGATACCTCAAGGCCTCTCCTTAAGGACTCATTGGATGGATCCCACTGAAATTTTCTTGGGTTGGAATTAACTATGCTGTCTTGTGGCGCTGGTTTTGGAACGATTGCTGCAGTGATTGCAAACCACTTGAAGATAAGCATACAAGAAATCAGACTTACTTCCATAGGACTTCCAGGGAAGCAATGGAGAAGACATCATCTATCTGTAGAATACAACACCGTCCTTTCAACAGTTTGAAGAAGGCTCCACACCCATTTGCACCACTCAGGTGACCCTGACGACAGAGATAAGCCTCCAAGGGCTTCAATGGCTCGCTAAAAGAATGCAAATGACCAGCTGTCTGCAAGGAGTATAAATCCTGCCATTCCCCACCATCCAGTCAGAGCTGAAGAAGCTTCTTGGATGAGAAGCAAAACATCTTCAAAGAAAAACAAGGACATCCAGCTGCTTCATGGAAAAAAGCATCTTTGGGACAACCATGACCTGGATGACTGAGAATCTCCATAGACAATGGAGAAGACAGCTTCACTGAGAACGCAGCAAATATGAAATGGACCAGTTCCTCAGAATTCCTCTCTGGATATGAAAAGGATTTGGGATCACCAAGTTCTTTAGACAGTAGCTCAGTGGTCTCCAGTGGATTTAGAGCTCTAGAAGACAAGAGATCATCATCTTTGTCAAGCTACAATTTGCACATTTATATATAAAAGGGTTGCATATTTCCTTTCTTGATCAGTTTTATCACACCAAAGGAATCTTCTTCAATGTCCAGCAAATGACAGTTTATACAAGTTTAAATAAATGGCAAAAGGGCAATCAGAACATTGATTCTGGGGAAAAAATAGACTAAGGATCCAGATGGATTTGAAAGAAGATTAGGAAATTAATTATAAAAATCCTTCCTGTGGAAAAATGTCATTGTTCTGAATTTTATTTAAAAAATGAAGATTTTGAAATTAATTATAAGGTATCTTCCCATGGAAAAATGCTGTTGTTTAGGGAAAAAACATAATGATAGAACTTTGAAGGTTGAACACTAAAGGAAAGCAGAAAGAACTAAACATTATAATTAAAGAAGAACAATTAAAATTGACTGAATAGAATGAAGCAAAATACTGTTGCTTTTGTAGACTAGAAGGCTATTTAGGGACAATGCATTCAAAATTAATCTTAGAATTGTGTTCTATTGTTATAAACAAACTGGATTTAAAAGACCTTATAGAAGAAGAACAAGATTCATTGGACAAAACTGAGATTGACATTGATTTGAATGTGGATGTAAAAATAAGCTATAAAAATGATATAGAAAAAGATGTTACTTTGGATATAAAAATGAAACTGGCTGATATCCTAATAATTAAAAGGGATATAAAAATAACAAACTAGAAGAGTGAGTTGGATAACTTTATAATTTTGGATTTACAAAAAAAAAAGATTTGTCAAAGTTTTGAAGAATTTTCTGAAAGAGACAAGCAGAAAATAAAAAGAAATCTAGGATATTATTTATAGGGCTTAAAAATCAAGATTGTTAAAAGCAAAGGGAAAGAATGCAAAGTTTGTTTATTTGGTCAAGTTTAAAATGTATATTTTGTTATTTCTGGTAATCTTTAATGGACTTTTGCTAACCAGAATCAAAGTGAGGTTTAAAGAAGTAGTTTCTAGATAAAAGATGAGATATAAGAGGAAGAGATATTTTGTTGCATGTTCTTTGGTAATAAGTTACTGGAGTTATATGTGCTTGATAAAAGAGGAACTCATTTCTTTGTATATTTCTTTTAGTTTTCTTTATTATATTTCTATTTTTCCTTTTCTATTTTTCTTTATATTCTTTTCTGCACTTTCTACTGTTCTTTTCCTTTGTTAATATTTTTAGTTTGCATTGCTTTTTATCACTGTAATTATAAACTTTAATAAAAATTATTATTATTAAAAGAAGACTTACTCTCACAAGCTGATAGGAGCGAAGCAAGATTATCTGCAAAGCAAACCTGAATGGGAAAGGCAACCAGCAAGCTTTCAGCCCCATTCTTGCTTAACTTCCTTCACTTAAAGGAAAATCAATGGGATACATTCCAATTAAGTTCACTTATAGCACTGATGCCATTTAACTACTAGGTGAGCATCATAAGATGCTTTTTCCATGTTTCATTCTATTTGTATTTGAATAGAATGTTTCTCAAATCCAACTTATACCAGACATAAATAAACAACATTCTTCAATTTAAAACATAAGCCACTTTACTTTGAATTGATTTAAAGGCCACTCATCTGAATGGCAGCAAAATCTAAAGCTTAGTTTAGTATACTGAGTCTCCATATATGCTATATGGAGTATAGTGTAGTATATTCAAATCATCAAACTGTATCTTTTGTTTGTTTGTCATTTTCAAGACTTCTGTGTCCAAATTTCAGATTAGTAGATGCTATGATTTGTTCAAAGTATTAGGGACAGGAATGAGGAGAAAGTAGGAAAAGTAGAGCCTTCTTTGAATTTCAAATCAATTTAATCTAAACAGATTCAGATTTTACTTCACTTTTAGTTACTTGAGGGTTGTGGTTGTTGTTTTTTAAATAAAGGATGCCAGCATCCCCCTTTTATTTCTTGTAAACAAATATAATGAAGCCATAAACAACATCACAAAGAAACCAGCACAATTCCAAAATGGTACGTGCAGTGGCTAGGAAGTTATGAGTTATACTAAGAGGCTTTTATCCTTTTCGCTTGGTTCCAAAGTCATGGAAAGCGGAAGACACTAAATATATAGGACAAATGAATGTGGATCAAACAGCTGGTAAAACAGGATGATTGTCGTCGTTAAAATGGATATGCTGCCAACTCTTGGTGACTTACCAAAGTACAGTTTTTTTAATCAAAATCAAATCAGCACAATCAGTAAATAAATAAACATCCCAATGCCAATATCATTCCCCATACACTCTTGTAACTTCTGGAAGGACATCCCAAGGAGGGTAGCCCAATTTTTTTTCCTTCCATTGAAATGTGTTTGATTCTCAGAGAATGCTTGACAAGTTGCTGCAGTTGTCAAGGATTTTCAGAAGTGCTTTACCATTGCCTCCTTCCTAAGGCTGAGAGAGAGTAATTGGCTCACCCCACTGGCTTTGTGCTTAAAATGGGACTAGAATTCATGGTCTCCAGGTTTCTAGCCTGATACCTTGATAACTATGCCAAACTAGAGGGAGATATTTTACATTTTCAAAAAAAAACACCAAAGCTACATACCAAGAGCAATAGCACTTAGACTTATATACTACTTCACAGTGCTTTACAGCCCTCTCTAAGCAGTTCACAGAATCAGCATATTGCCTCCAATAATCTGGGTCCTCATTTTTTACCGACCTCAGAAAGATGGAAAGCTGAGTCAACCTTGATCTGCTCAGAATCAAACTGCTGGCAGTCAGCAGAATTAGCCTGCAATACTGCACATTAACCACTGTGCCACTATGCCTCTACATCCTCCTATGTCCAATAGCCTTCCCTATTTATTTATTTATTTATTTATTTATTTATTTATCTGAAACCTTTCTTGATATGATAGTCCTGGGAATCCTTTTAATGTTTTATGACTCCATAAAATTGCATTATTTACATGTTTTATTATTCAGCTAAATCAAATTCTTAGTCTCCTTTCAAGATAATTTTCTTCCTAAGGCAGCATACAAAGATAGCGTTTTCCCATGTCTTGTCTCGAAACTCTTTCACAAAAGAAGACCAGGAGGAATCAGCCTCAGAACCCAACCCAGAGTTTCCAGGCCCTAGCAACTCTGAATGTGATCACATACACATCACATGATATGCAACTACATGCTACATGGCACCACCTTTGGGTGGAGGTCCCAGTGCCTTTGTGATACCTTGGATCTAAAAAAAAAAAAAAAGTGGTTTAGAACCTGCCAAGCTGCTCCCATAGCCCATTTGCAATTCCTTAAAGTAGCTGCATCTTTTTCTGGAAGCACATCTTCCTTCCCCGGCTGCAGAATAAGTCTAGGAAAAATATATGTTTTGATTTAAGGCAGTGGTTCTCAACCTTTTTAATGCCGTGACCCCCAACCGGTCGTAGGTCGAGGACTACCCAACCGGTCGTAAGTCGAGGACTACCCAACCAGTCGTAAGTCGAGGACTTCCCTGCCCGGGAGTGCCGCGCATGCGTGGTGCCACCCCCTGCACCGGCAAGGCGTAGCTGGCAAGCGGCAGAGATGGCGCAGGCCGACCACCGGCTGGGCCACCACCTAGCCCAGCCCAAGGGAGGTAAGGCACCCGCCGGGCCCCACGCGCGCCAGCAACCCTCCCTGCACCCGCCGGCCTCCCACCTCCCACCCCTGGCCCTCTTTTACTTACATTTTTAGTAGTTGCTCAGCAGGGAGGGGTAGAAACTTCCAGACAGTTCGCCTTTGCTGCAGACAACTTGCAGCACCGTTTGCAGACTGGGACTTTTGGTGGGCTCAGCAGGGCAGAGACAGCCTGGACAATTCCTATTGGCTTTTGAAAGCCAATAGAATTAGACTCTATTCAAGAGAGTCTATTCTATTGGCTTTCAAAAGCCAATAGAATAAAAGGGAGTAGCATAGCTAAGGAAAAGGGGGAAAAAATGGCGGACTGCGTTGTTTGGCGACCCCCGTGAAATGGTCGTTCAACCCCAAATGGGGTCCCGACCCACAGGTTGAGAACCACTGATTTAAGGGGTTGCAGACAGGCTCTGTGCACGCATACACACACACACACCCAGGCACTCCAGAACAGCTTTTGTGTCTTCAAATCTGAAATGCTGCATAGCCATAGAGCCATAGCAAAAGGGACTTCTAGCCCCAAGGACATTGTCAAGAGAACCAAATGTCCCTTGAGAATACACTAGTTGTGCATGCATTCTTGATTTCAGTTTTCTTCAGCTCTGTCTTCTGATGGAAGTTTTGGATGAAAACTTCCATAATACTGCCTGGGGAGGATGAGAAGTATAGCAAATACACCAGAGACAAGTTTCTCCAATATTTCTCTGTTGTCTTATAAGTCTGTACTCTGCACCCAGACATGCATCAAACCCTCCCCCCTCCCATCATTGATTGGATATGAATCAACCTGATGTGGCTGATTGATGCCATCAGCACATAGAAAGAACAAGGGCATGAGTTCAAGTCCAAGTAGAGCTATTTTGTTGGACATCACCAAGACCAAGACCTCAACCTAAGATAGTTAACTAATTTCTGGCAAGCATCTGTAGTATTAACAACTACCCAAAATGCAGAAATATAACAATAGATGAAATGGTATCAAAAATTTTGTTTATTGAGTACTTGTAGGCCAAGCTATTATTAGAGGCACTGGAATACTGCCCAAAAAAAGAGAAAGTTGGCAACCCCATCTTGCCTCTTATTTTTTAATCAGAATCTGGACAGAATTCAGGCAACAAAAAGGTCACGATCTAAACTGAAATCCATTTATCTTATAAGTGCTACCAGCTGTATGTTAGCAAGCTGTTTTCTCTCTCAAACAATATAAATAAGATGATGTTGGATATAATTAGATGTTCATTCCCTAAAGGAAAACTAAGCAAAGTACACTTCAGCAACATAGCAGTTGGACTTTAAAATATAGTATTTAAGAGACGTAGTTCAACTTTTCTTGCTATGGTCTGGAGTGAAATAGTGAATTAGAGAGAGAGAGAGGGACAGACAGACAGATAGACAGACAGACAGACAGAATAATAGATATCTCCAGATGAAGAACTCTTAAAATAACCTTGTTAGGTTCTTACCCTGAAAATCCACAATGACCCTTCTATCATTCAGATTTGTCCAGGATTGATTAAAATGAGCTTTCCTTGCCCTGGAGCTCATTCCCAAAGTGTTGGACTAGAACAGTGTTTCCCAACCTTGACAATTTTAAGGCATGTGGACTTCAACTCCCAGAATTCCACATTGCTGGCTGTGGAATTCTGGGAGTTGAAGTCCACATGCCTTAAAATTGTCAAGTTTGGGAAACACTGGACTAGAAGATCATCATCCCCTTCAGTAGTTCTGTTTGGCTGGGGTGATGGGAGTGCATTCAAAGTTAAGGAAGCTGGCACAAATATGAGAAGTGGCATCATGGGTGAGACACATTTTCTCAAAGGTAACCCCAAAATTCTGAACACTTTTAATTTCTAACAACTAGAGCCAATCCATTGGCAGTGGAGCCTAGTTTTGAATACCATCTCTTTTTTAAAACACATTTAGGTCTCCAGATGCTCTACTAAACAGAAGACAGCTAAGAAACATGCAGGTGACAGCATTAGGTCACTGTTTTTGACGTAGGTCACTATTTTTCAACGCACTGAAAAGCTTCAAGAGGGCGATCGAGACTTTCATGTTGATAATTAGTGATTTGTCATAGCAGCTATGTGCCAGTTCAGGGTGAATCTGCTTCTCCATTCTTTATACAACAGGCTCACTGGTTCATCACACTTTGCATCATGTAAGAGAACATTTCCTTATTTGATTTCACAATTAACATAGCAAATTAGATGTGATTTGCTGCTGTCCTTTTTAAATGCTGAAAATGCAAATTTTCCCCAAGGGGAAAGGATAATATAAAAAAGAGAGAAAGAGAGAGAGAGAGAGAGAAAGAGAGAGAGAGGGAGGGAGAGAGAGAAAGAAAAAAAAGAAAGACTTACCAGCCCATCACAATTGCTGATGGCAACAGAAGCATTAGGCAAGTCCGTGATATGCCCCACATAGATGCAATCCCCATGAAGCGGTTCAGTGTAGGTGATGTTTGAATCCTCCTGCCATTCCACAGTTGCTCCAGGAGCCACCAGCTGGGAATTTGGCCTTAATCTAAAGTGGAATTCTTGTCCAAAAACAGTGACATTGTAAAAAATTTCCTTGCCTGCAGCATCCAGAGGAAGATCCCTGGTGTTTCTTGGGAAGCGCCTCTTTGGTGCTCCCGACACGACTTTGGAGACGAACCTGCCCTTTGAGTCTGTGCTAGTTGGGATGACCAGCCTGTATTCTTCTAGATTTCCCAAAATAGAATCTAGAAAGAAAGAAAATCATGAGTAATCAGAGTCGGGCTGAATACCTGACTCCTAAGACTACTACTGGCCGGGGACATATACTTCATTGGTCCGCGAGGTTAAGGAAAGGAAAATACTAAGGCAGACACTTGGTGCCTTACTTTCCAGTTTGTTATTAAGAAAGCCCAGGTGGCAGGCACGGCAAGGTATTTAGGGATGGACACAGGTCAAGATGCTGTCTCCCTGCAACTGGGCAAGAGGGACTAGAAACATAAGCGCGCTCCCTCAGCTGAATAAATCCAACTTAAGCTACAAGGTTTCTGAAAGCAATCTGCTTGAGGATATCGGGAGCGAACACCTGGCGCATCAACTTTCAAACTCTGCCACCAGCCACGCTCCTCCAAATTCAGTCACTCCTGAACCTGAAGAATGGGGACGTCGATTGCCCTGGAAAAGTTTTGTTTTTGTTTTGTTTTGTTTTGTTTTTTAAAGAAGAGCTGCCTCCGTTGGCTTCGCTTCCTTCCTCCAAAGCAACACAGACCGAAGGAAAACTTAGTCCCTGCCAGGTGGTTTTGCTGGACGCAGGCGATTCGACAGGCGGCTCTGCCCCGCGCGTCCGAGTTCAACCGAGGTTCCAGCCTCCCTGGTTTGTAGCTGAAAGGCACCCCCCCCCCCGCCAGCTCAGCAGAATCGAAGAAAGTACAGACACACACACACACACCCTCCGGAAAACAACGCCACACGTGGCGGCGGGGAGGGCGCTCGGGCCCTCGGACCGAGCACTCCGGCGTGGCGCGGAGAAGTCTAGAGGGCAAAAAGTCCTCCGCTCGTGGGTGAAGTTAGACAGGCAGCCTCAAGGGGAGGCGGGCAAAGAGGGGGGCGGCTGGCTAATCCCAGCCGGCCGGCCAGGGCAGTTTAAGGCGAGGGAACCCTAGCAGCCCACTTACCTTTCTCCCCGGGACTCTGCGGGGCCCCCGGGGCCAAAAGGAGGACCCAGCAGGCGAGAAGCAAGGCGATCCCCGCCAGAGGAGCCATGGCAAGCGTAGCTCAGCCCAACCCCAGCCTTCAGCTTGGCTGCAGGGGGCTCCGGCCACATTGAAGGCGGCCGGCACCGCCCTCTAGCCCACCACCAGGCAACCTCAGCCCCGCGGCTCCTTGCCCTGGCTCATCCGCTCCTCTCCAGCGCTCAGCCTCGACGAAGACAGCAGAGACACCAGCAGGCGGCTTGCTGGAAAGCACGGGGCGTGCAGGAGGGAAGTCCGCCTGATTGACAGAACTGCCGCCGCTGCCGCCGCCGCCGCTGCTCGCGAGCCTGCCACGGCCTCGCCTCGCCCGGGCTTAGCGGCGGCTCTCCCTGGAAACTCTCGCAGCAGCAGCAGCAGCAACAGCAGCTGCTGCCGGCCGAGACAAAAACTCTGCAGCCTCCTCCGGTTTCGGGACACTTTTCCCTCAGCCCAGCTAAGAGGCGGTTCCTGAGGGATCCTGAGCATTTCCCTCCACCCAACGCTCAAAATCCTGCTCTTCTATCTAGAAAGAGACCCGGCACACAGGTCGCTTGATTTGGAATCGCTCAGGATTCTTCTGCAAAAAAAATCTCGTACCGTATCTTGAACTCTCCTGATTTAAAAAGGAGAGTGGTCGTCTGATTTTTTTTCCTCCCCTAAACTCTAATTGGAGACGGCTTTTGCTTTCTGTGTGTGTTATATCCATATAGCACTTCGTGATATCATGGTTTCCACTCCAGAAAGGCAGAATCGGATCCTTCCGGATCAAAATGTAATTGCTAGATTATTCTTAAGCCTCCCCTCTCTGGCTGAACTAAAAATTCCTGAATTTTTATTATCTTGATTATCATAAAATCTAGATGCAAATCTTACCTTAATCCTAATGACTTTTGCATCCTAGCCCTGTTTTGGACTCCACTCCTTGTTTTAGTTTAACAACTAAAAATGCGTTTATTAAAAAAGAAATGCACTTCTGGCGAGCCAGTGATTATATGAATGTTTCATATGATATTGTTATATATAACAATTATATGTAACCCAGTGTAGTATGGTGGTTAAGGAGTTGGACTA